TTGGAAAGGATTTTGATTATCTAAAAATATGATAGGTTTAATGGGCAAGAAAAACTGCATCAGATGAGTTACTGCATAATGGATTTGGTAGTGGGCCGATTTGCGGTCTTATCGTCCCCCGTCCTTTCAAATGTAATATGTGATGTATTTGAAATTGTTTTAAAAGAACCGTTATTGTTAAATACATTTTTATTACATGCATCATTAGTGGGTGGTATTTACCTTAATTTTGAGCATTTATCATACGATAATCATATTGAGTATTTGCACCTTTCATCTATTGGTTATCCTCAGTTATTATTATTATTAAATTACTTACCAAAAATTCGTTCATTAAATGTCCGACTTATAAATCGAGGGGGTACGTTGCAAAAGATTAAAAATTTTTGTATGTATGTTGAATGAATATATAACACTAGAATTATGACCAGTATTAACAGGCGTTACATTGCACATCATTTATCTTCCTATCACTAAAGTATAATGTGCCCCTGACTGAAAACTTCTGCTCTCTCGAATATATTCATTAAAAGACTCGTGGAAAATGTATGAGTAAGTGGATGATCTAAAGTAGGAGACCTTTGTAAAAGAAGTTGTCGACCTGGTTCATGAGAATGTTAACCCACGACAAGAAATCCGGAATATCTCACCTCGTGTAGTGTAGTTATTCTCTTAGCTAAGTTGTTCATATTTCTCGATCGCGAAAATCTTCACTCTATTTTGGGTGCAGTATTTTGATAGATTGTTCGATTTGTGCTTATGTGGTTGTAGAAATTAAAAATCTCGTACGATTAAAATTCTCCTAGTAGAAATGAAAACTGAAAACAAAAGAAAATTGAAAAAAGTCTAGCTGTGAAAAGCAGAGTTCTGGATAGCAAAGGTTGTAAGATGTTACTTTTTGATTCTCCACCACGCTCTCTACCACTTCTAATCGCCTTCAAAATGTTTGGTGCTTTTTACAGCTAGATTATTCCAAATTTTGCGTTTTGACTTTCTATTTTATCTTGTAGGATTATCTGTTTGAAAATTTATTTTCTGTGGATGTTTTTCGAATTACTTTTGAACGGTTAGAGATAGAGACTCTTGCAGCATTTATCATCCGATAGAGGAGAGTGGGAACGTCTTCATAAAGGGAGAAATCTGAAAAACTTGTTCTCATGTAGAAAAGAAAGAACTTTTGGAAAACGTGTTCATAGCTCAAAAGCTTTCAGTAGGGATGCTCTGATTATTTTTCATGGATATATAGCTCAAAGTGTCGTCTGAAAACTGGGAGCTATCCAGACCCTTAATGCATTATGGTTTATTTACTCTTTTGTAACAAAACTAAATGTTATTATTTTATCACATTCATACGATTTTGTAGAAATTTGAAAGCTGAATCTTTTGGTGTCTAAGTGATTATTTGTATGGCTATGCGTCATAGAAAAATCCGCTTACAAAATGGACTACTTTTTATGAGTTAGTAATATTTTTTGACGGAGTTTACTATTTCGGAAGTTTTAAGCAAAGCATAACGATATATTCCCTAGTCCAACATCTTGGAACCAAGATTCTCTAGTCCAACATCTTGCCCAAGATCTTACGTTAGGATTTGGCAGTACATCTTGAAAAAATGCGTACAAGCTCTGAAAGACATTTTTGTACATAAGATCTTATGCAAGACCTTGGATACAAATATTTCTTGATATCTTGTACCCAGGATCTCGAGCATTTGAAAAACCGTCATATTTCGAAAATAATTTTTTTTCTTTGCATTTTTTCAACAAGTGTGGGGAACAAAAAATATTCACCGCTTAGTGGCGAACATTTCATCCGCTAGGATGAACGATCCCTAATGCCTTCCTCATGGAGTTTTGACTCTGCTATCGACGAAAACATAGTAACATTAGACACAAAATAGCGTGTTCATAAGTTATATAGGATGACATCGCCAAAATAAGTCGGTGAATGATACCCAATGGTTACTCAAAGATCTTTTGTACAAGATGTCAAAATGTTTCTGTATTAAAGATGTTGAGTCTTGATCTTGGATACAGATCATTTTACAGTCAAGATCTTGGTTCCAAGATATTCGACTAGGGTTCTAACCAAAATAAATCATTCAATACTAGACAAAATTCTGCGTCTTTCAAGCCTAGAATGAAGTTTTAAAGTTTATTTTATAACGTTGGACAAACCAAGTTTTCCGCCCTGAATTTAACGCCAAAGGACTATAGTTTAGATGAACTAACCCGTTCTTGACTATTTTCAATGAAAAGGGTATAATGCAGATAAAATCTGATTTATCCTGATGTTTTGAAGCAATTTGGATCCATGAGAGTTTTTTGAACGATTGAATTTTTGAAAATGTATGCTTAAGCAGTGAAACTTTAAAAACTTTTTTGAGTGTTCGTTAGGCCTTACTATACTCAGCTCGACGAGCTCTATCGACTGCCTAACTCAGATTTTAATTTCGGGGTGTTCGTGTCTTTTAGTAATACCCGGAAATATCTCTTTTCGCACATGCATATTGTTCTATTCTCTTTTTGTTGTATTGATGCGTTGAGACGAAAAAATGTCCGCACATGGGATATCGTATGCGGAAAGGGATATCTCCTAGATTCCTAATACAAATTTGGGAGTTTTTGGCAGTGTGTGGTACGCGATGAAGGCGTCGTAATACTTGAAAAATTTTATGTAGCTTCAACTGGGTACAACTAATTGCTTAGTTGCTATCGATTAATCAGGCAATTAATTGGCCAATGAAGCAGCCTTTTCTTCTAGTATACGACTAGGTATGCATCAGTAAAAACTCTCTGGTATCCAAAAAATTTCAGCAGATAGGTACTAAAAGAATATATTAAAATAATAATCTGGACAGAAACAATTATTTCTTTTTTCTCGTCCAATTTCCACATGTAATATGGAACCAAAGCCTTTAAAAAGCCTTCCTTATATCATGTGGACTGAATGAGAAAAGAAAATGAACTAAGACCCTGCTACATTTTCATCTTTCCATATAACATGTGCATAAGCCCAAAAGAATTCACATATTCTGTGTAAACAAAAGAAAAGAATGTGTGGACTACGAGTTTTTTATTTCCTTCTCATCACATAATGTATGATTTTTTTCTGTCAGTTATGATCAGTTTCCATTATCAGATGTACCAGTTTTAGCTTTAGCAGTTTTACAGTTCTACAGTTTAGCAGTTACAGTTAACTGCTTTTTATCTGAAACGGGTGCATATCTAAGTACACGATTCCAATCAGCATGCAGCTAGATAAATGTAGCTTTTAATCTAATTAATCTGGCTATAGGCAGGCTCTGAAGCTATCTTTGCAGCTAAATTCGCTTACTTGGTTTTGTTTGGGAGTGACACCTGTTGTCTAGCTGGTTTTCTAAAGTTTAGATTTCTTCACATCTATTTTTCAAAGTTCGAAAAAGACTATGGGATCCTGCTCGTGAAAGAGTTAGTAAATCAGAATAGTTAAAAAGATCCTTCTAATATATACAACTCTTGAAAGGCCGCATCAATTCGAGGAAATGACCATTAGTCCTGAGACTGGTATTCGTCATACAACCGATAGGAAAATGTATTTTAATATAACCATAAAAGATCAATTTTTGGTGACTGTTCAGAATAACGGTCGGAGATCAGTCAGAAATGGGCTAGTCACCACTTTTCCAAGTCTGAGTCGAGCCCGAGTCAGTAGCCTTCGAGTCCGAGTCGCATCAAAAATGGACTCGAAACACGTCGAATCATTTTCTAGAGAAAAACTTTTTTCTGATTAATTTTTCCAAAAAGAGGTCTTCAGTCCTCTCATATGATGCGATGTTCGACTTAGACTATTGTCAAATCTCCCTCTTTTGGTATATAACAAATATAATAAACACCGTCATAACAAACCCAAGTTGTACATGACTGACTCGAAAGCGACTCGAGTCAGTTTATCTAGAGTAGTTTAAGAGAGATGCCTCTAACATTTATCTGAAATATAATTAATTTCCTATTGTTGTGGATTCTTTTTAGAAATAATGCCAAACGACGACATCTATGAAAATTTAGGTCAACATGTGTCAAATTTAATTGCATTTACTTTGGAAAACTCCGTTATACGTTTCCATTTTATTAATTTATTATTAAGAAGTCTTTCGTTATCAACAAAACTATTTATCTTATATATCTCACTGTCGACGTTGCGGAGCGAGAAATGGCGAAGAATATGAAACTTTACTAACATGTTTCAATTATTTAAGAATGTTGAATTTGGATATATATTGTAATGCATTAAACCCGAATGAATATGAATATGTTGAATCTACATTTCAAACTTCTTTTTGGCCTGAAAAGCAATGGTCAATAAAATGTGATTATCATCAAGATTTTAATAGAATACAGATTTATTCTGTATCATTAAATAAAATTAATTTTAAAACACGTTTATTCTTATCAAGTAACAGAATAAGGTAAAAATATTTAATAAGAAAATTATTGGCATGGTACGATGTAGTTTAAAAACATAAAAATTTCTCGCAGTGAAAACTAGAGCCCTGTTACCTTGACTTTTCTACTACTTCAGCTCTAGAGACTCAGATTATAGTGTAGACTTTGGTTTTCGAATACGGCTTTTTCCAACTTTTCGCATTGTCTCCATCGTACGTATGGATTTTTGTGAAAATTTTCTTCCTTATAGTAGGAATTGTAGCTGTATCGGAATTCCGATTTTATAGTGCAACTCATCTCAAATTCAAGATTCCCTTACTGTTCAAGTCAACAGTCCGAAATGCTCTGGTGAATGGAAAGTCGAAATTGAACTTCGAATTCTAATATATTATAGGCTTTTACACACCTTCGCTTTATTAATACTCAAGAGAAAGAGCAAACTCAGTTATAATGTTTTTAAAAAACCAATGTACTTGAATACTTTTTGAATAGCTATTGACGGAAAAGCGGTAGCGAACTTCGGTTTTCTCTACTCGAAAACGAACTTGGAGTGCATGATTTTATGTCTTCTAGACGTCTTATTAGAGCACTGTGCCCCACAGCCCTGAAATTTGTATCTGGCGACTTCGGGTAACCTCCACCCTGGATGATTTGTATGTAATCGACGATGCTGAGTGTCGTAGCAATGTTTATTTTTCAGATAACGAATTAACGACTTAGTGAAAACTTAGTGTTACAGAAAATATCGAGTTTTGGTTGTTGTCATCAAAAATTAAAAGATACACATTTCATTCAATATAACTTCCAATCATTTGAAAAGTGCAGAATAGGCTCAATTTCGTATGTTGAACATCATTTTCTGTATCTGTGATCAAAAATAGGATTGAAATATGATTGGATTTTGAGATAATTTTCCAGAAAAGTTAATAACTTATTCATTTTAATTTTTTAAATTATTAAATCATTAAGGAACTGTGTTCAACATATGACATTGAGCCTAACCTGCAGTTTTCAAACGCCTGGAGGTTATATTGAATGAAATATGTATCTTTAACAGCCAAAAATCAATATTTTCTCTAAAGCTAAGTTTTCACTAACGAGAGATGTCGGCGAGCTCTCTGTGATGCCTTTTTATGATTTTACACGCGTTTTACGACAATCACTGTATGAGAAAAGCGCAGAAATCTTCAAGTGTTTTGAGCTAGGCTCTGAGATGATAGGTGTCTGCACAACTTCAGGCGTTAATATAAGGCGTGGTTCAGGAGCAAACCGTTGTGACATGAATGAGAAAAACTTCCGGATACGATTAAAACTTCCCTTAATACTTGTTAGACTCTATAGTTTGCATCATTGTTATCTAGCGCTAAGAGGGTCTTACACCTACTTCAATCGTTTAATTAACGTTATTTCTTTTATAAACGATGTTTTATGCGTTATGTATCCTTCGTGTAGGAAGATTTTCCGTTCAGAAAAAAATTGAATTACTTTGTCTAATCAATTTCATCGAACTACACGACTGTTGGATGTTTTTTTCATGATTTTACAGGCGTTTTACGACAACTACTGTATTTGAGGCTTTTATTCTACTGGGTTTTATCTCAGTTTTGATCCATTGACCAAATGCAATAATTTGCATATAGTTGAATAGAGCATCGAAAGTTACATCTAGTGACAGGTTCTTTTATCTTCATCAGTTCATATTAGTAGAGAAAAAACTTAAATTTTGAAAATTGCTGGAAAATGGGTATTATGTATGAAAAGATATTTTCCGCCTGCAACCGGTCTTAAATACAGTGCTTCTCGTAACACGCATGTAAAATCATAAAACACACCGCGTAAAGCTCACCAACATCTCATTTTGTAGGAAGATACTTGCTCTATATATTGACTCAAAAAAAATTTGTATTTTTTGACCTTGGAGATTTGTATCAAAGTGAGATTTTTTGAGAAAACTTAAAAATTCATAACTCGACTCAAGAGTCTCAGGCAATCGAACCAACTTAGGATTATTCTAGTTTACAGATCCCCTACTTGAGGGCAAAATATTGGCACAAAAGCAAGGAAACACCTCTAGACATTCCTTGAAAACTTAGATAAAGCTCCTTCTTTTCTGTAAAACTGAGTTTTTACTAAGTACTTAATTCGTTATCTGAAAACAAACATTGCTACGAGCCTCAGCATGGGACACAGCAGTAGCTCGTTCCACGTCCATTATGCAGGTGACACGCGAAACTATCTATGCATGAAAAAAATCAGTATAACCATATTATGATTATAATGATTTTTTTCATTCATAGAAAACTTCCAAAGTTGAAATCTTTTTAGACACGGCTTGTTTTTTTGAAGATCTTGTTTTGAAAAAGCTTGGGAATTTTTCTACTTATGAAAACTCCCGCCCAAGCCTCTCTTCTTTCGAATGGCAAAAAATCAAAGCTCGCTACCTCTTTTGTATCAAAAGTTATATATAAAATTTATCGGTACAACGTATTTGTGAATGATACTAGTATAGTATCAATAGTTTGTTGGCAGAGCAATAGATAACCAAGATATTCATAGATCAAAATTTCAGCCATTAGCAAATTTTGATCGAACGTCTGCATAGATGCAGAAAGAATTCGTGGATGCGAGCGCCGCTACAGAAATAGTTCTAACATCGTGATGAGATTTTTGATTAACAAATTATAATTCTTTTGAAGGAAAACTCAATGACCGCCAAGCTGTTCTTTGTTTATCAGGCTGTAAAAAAACTGTCAACATCTAAATGTTTTTGCGCAAATGGTTTAATTTCCAGAGTAAATTCTGATAGACTCTGTATCTATATACATCAGTTTAGTTTTATTTGTAGAGATGTTTCATCGCTGCCAGCATTTTATGATAAACTTGAAGATTTATCAGTGTCATTAAATAGCCAATCATCAACATCTGTTGTAGAATGTCGATTATATCCAAATGTAACGTCATTAACGTTATCATACACATTAAAAACAATGCCGATATTATCAGCAACAACGATCCTTTACCATCTCAGTCAATTAATTCAATTTTCAAATCTGAAACAATTAACTGTTGAAGGTTATGGATTACCAATTGATTTGGGTTATCAATTACCAATTGACTTGGCGTATCAATTACTGGAACAATTGATAAATTTGAATTCCTTTATTACATCATTTGATTATTTATTGGACTTGATAGAAAGTAATCCTACGTATTTTAAGCGAATTAAAAATCTAACAGTTTAGAGATGCTCTTCTTATCATGCGAATAGTATTGAAAGATGTTTCGAAAGGTTTTCAAATCTTCAAAGTTTATCTTTTACAAATGTTTATAATGTCAAAAATATAAACTCTTTACTGTCTTCTATATTAGATAGTATATTGTTGAAAAACAAAAATATCAAATATTTTCAACTTAAAACTGATCTAACATGCGATGATGTAATACTATCACCAATATTAAAAACGATATTAAAACATCATTTATATGATTTAACATACAGAACAATTTCCATTTGGTTTGAACGATAAAAGAATATAATGTTTGTTGTATGCATTGATTCTGCTTGTTTAGTAATGTTAAGTATATAATTTATATTGATCCGAAGAAATGAAATACATAATTAATAAATAGATGGGGTCTTTCTTAAATTGAGCTGTTTGATGAAACAGTGGAGATATCAGAGGGTTCTTGATTTGCTCAGGAATCTTTTCTGTATACGATGAGGCTGTTAGAAAACAAGCTTCATTCGAATTCGTGGATTTAGTTTTCTAAGGCTTGGGTTTTCCACAGACATAAGCCCCAGAAAATTTAGTAGAATCTTTATTTGCCATAGACTAGATTTGAAACTCCGTCAGCTATCAAATCTTTCAACAGATTTGTTGTAGCTATTATCATGCAGGAGAAAACCTGAAAATAAACGTGGGTTCATAGCTTTGAGAGCCAGCGTAAGTAAAGTTGTGACACTAGTATACTATTCAGTATATAAATGGTTGACGCTGTACTTTTGAAGAAAACTTATGTATCGCAATTTGAAGCACGTTAAGTTCTGTACTTATCCTTACCATAAGCTTTTTGGGTATGACTTTGTGTACAACACTGTATCATATTCACCATGTCAAATTACTGTATTTTTTATTATTATAAGATAGCTATGTTTTTCCTCAGAATTACAATGTAATGAGAATGGCAGCTTGACCACTTAGGCTCTGACCGCTGTACAATTTCCATGTTATACTAAGAGTAATTCGGTTACATTGTGAGAGAAAACAAACTCACATAAATTGTCAAAAAATGTTTTGTTATCGCGTATATAGAATTTCACGATTCGTTTGCACGGTCTTCCAACGGGTAAAAACGGAATACAAGGCATACAACAAACATTATATTCTTTTATCGTTCAAACCAAATGGAAATTGTTCTGTATGTTAAATC